ATTGTTTGTACTGCAGAGATATTCTTAAAAACGAAAGTCAAAAATCCCCTGAAAAACCACAACTGAGTACATGCCGTTAAACATTTGAAGGAGACATCAGAAATTACTTGCAAATTTGTCTATAATCATTAAAGGAGCAGTGACGGATCCAGAAATTTTAAATAGAGGGGCTCAGGGGAGGGATTCAGAGATGGTAGATCTATTCCACCTCAGCCCCACCATGATAGCAGAGGCTGAAGTAAGAACATTTATGATTAAGGCACCTCAGACAATATGAATATAATATATATTTTAAAGGGAGGGGCCCAACCTGGCTGTCCCTACCACCTTGAATCCACCACTGAGGGGTGATCCAAGGCAACAGAAAACTTTCCACTCTGCAACCCCATCACTCTTCAATAACATGATTGTTGTCATTTGCAGATAACTTTTTGTAATTTTTACAAAAGAGCACATAATACACGTTGCCTCCTCCATCCCCTTAACATGGTTTGTGCTTTTGTGAAAATTAAGAAAACGGATGAACCTTAAGAAGACATTTCCTGTTTGTTTCAATGGAATTGTATACTATTCTTGCTAGCTGCATTAGCTAGAAAGATATATAGAAAGGTTTCTATTACGTAAAAATGTGAAGACACATTGCGTCAACTGAACTGGTAGTAGCTAGGCCTACTCGGTGTGCGCTGAGCCATGGCGATACTTACATAACCCTGGCCCTCGAATCAATCCCTTTCCTGGTCTCACTGTGTTTCAGGTTGGGGGTTAAAATAAACGTTACAATGAAATTGTGCAACGTTTTTGGATAAGATATTTAAGCCGTTGGTCCTGTGAACAATACCGTACTCGAGCGAATAAGCGCCCGGGCGCTTAAAATATTTTTTTGCACTTTCAAACGGGGCGCTTATATGAAAACAGATTGGAAATTGAGAGGCGCTTATAGAAATAGATGAAAATCGAGGTGTTCTTATGGCAACTTATTAAATTCAAGAGGCACCTTTTCAATAAAAAAAGATTATAGGCCTACAAGGACATTTCGAATGGGGGTGCGGCGGGAAAGATAATCGTCCAGAGAACATGGGTCATGGCAAGAATGCTGTGAATATTTACATAACAGCAGAATAGCAGGTGCAATTGGCGGTGGGTAGTGGTTAGTTTGTTGGCCATCGGCCGATTGAGGTGCAGGATAGCAGAATCATTGCAGGTTTTCTTGAAAACTCAGCTAGGAGTAGGACTAGGCCTAGACAAATATGTAAGAGGAAAGTTGAAAATATACTGTCTGTCTAGGGATCGGAGCTCTCAACTGTCCTATCCTCATTTTGATATTGACCTAAGAAGAATGTGATTCCACTCTGCAGCTCAAATCATGCCAACAACCAGTCCCAGGATTGATTGGTTTATTGACTTGCTGAAAATCTTATATTATTGAGGGGCGCTTATTCAAACGGGTCGCTTATTCGCGCGAGTACGGTATGTGGAATATGTAGAAATGTATGTAATTGTTTTGTGATGTACTGTCCGGTTCGCTACCAAACTCTACTAAAAATCTTTATATTTTTGTTGGTTGTCCTAAAACTAAAACTAAAACTAATTTATTGAAAGATGTTGTTAATATATTATAAATATCAGTCATCCATTTTCTTTGTTCTGAACAGAACCAAAAGGTTTTTGTATCCATACACAAAAGAACTACGTACAGAAAATGATACTTTCAAATACAACAGAAAATGCAGTAAGTTGTAATAAGAGATTTAAATTTGCACAACCATATACATTAAATAGATAATCTTACTGAATAAGGTTCAATGCAACTTAAAATATATATTGTAAATAAATATGGAATACAATTTTAAGAGATATTTTGTTGGCAGGCAGATTGCTAAGTACTTACCAGAATATAATATAACATAACCACACTGTATGTGCTTTGTTAAAAAAAAATAAAAAACACACAAACTTGATAAATAAAATTTGATATCTAAATTGTGTATTTTGTATATTTAATCATTAGTTTTCATTTGAAAAATATGAGAAAATATTAACATTGACAATTAACAGAGGCATAAATTATACTATTTTGTATACTCTTTGCATATGCAGTGGCTTAATAAAGCATGAATAAAGAATTTGTATGACATCAAAAACCGAATTTAGCAGATATGATTCTTACTAAAGTAGGTGCTTAGGCGACTTAACTTAATGTGATTTTTATTTTTAGATTTAATTTCCAAGATGCTACCACAGTGTTATCTCTTTTAAATCAACCATGTTACTGTATATAGTATTGTAATAGCTATGATCTCTCACCACAGTTCTATACTCTTGGCCGTCACTGGCTGAAGTCAGGGCCCAGAATAATTATCATTTTTTGTTATTGTGCCCGAATCAGCCTAGCGGGACTATTCAAAGAACAGAACCTGAAATCTGTCCTTGAAACGTTTAACAACGTTGAAGCAAGGTGTTTGCCACATACCACACTGGGTTATCTACAGGGACACAGCCCCCAGGTAGTAGGGTAGCAAGGTACTCCGAGTCTCGTTGTTATAACACTGACTGTAAACACACAATTAATTCTACAAAAATTTATCATTTGTCCAATTTTGAATGCAACGTTTTCACGTGATTTACAGATTCCAATTGACTGATACTGATAATTCTTTATTAGTCATAAAACGTACATTTAAGAAAAAATTGCTTTCCTTGGAAGGAAATCAAACATTGTAGCAACATTAAAACAATAAAATAAACACATTAAAACAATACAATAACTATAGGATAGATACTCATTGCATATACAGTATTCATTTTAAGAAAAACAATTTAAACTGTACATAAAGGTCAGTGTTTTATTTAGGTAGGGTACAAAATTTATCAAATTTGTTCTATCACTACAAAAATATGTATAATAGATAGGAATTAATGATAGGTCATTGTTTGACACGGAACTATCCAATCATGGAGGATGTTCAGGAAGTAAATACTGATAGTTCATCAAAGGTATATATTTTTCAAGGTAATTTCCATGGAAAGCAATAAATCAAAATCACATGATTGGGTAAAAGGAATGCAAATTAGTTGACAGTCTCATGACACTTTATTGTCCAATCTTCTTCTTCATCTTTTGGAAGTAAATGAAGTCCAACCTAAAAGGAAACATACAAATTTAAAAAGGGGAACGAACGATTGATTTATACTATATTATATATTATATATATATAACAACAGTTTCACTCACAAATAACGCACCCCGCGAATTCTGAAAGCTTCACTAAATTGCTCCGAGTTCAACTTTCCCCCTGTGCTTTCGTTTCGTCCCCCCTTAGATTTTTCACCATACGCCCCTGTATAC